CTCACCCACACCGACGCATACGTATGGCTGGTCGTCTACGTCGATGACCTGCTGTAAATTGGCTCCACTACCACCCTTATCGCTTGGTTTGAAGGGGAGCTCCTGTTAGACCTAAAGCTAATAGTCTCCCCCACGATCTCCCAGTACATTAGACTTGACATCAGCGACGACACCGATACCACTCATCTCTCTACATCAAAGTACGCTGATAACATCGTGACGTGGTTCGGCATCCTCTCGATAACCATCTCTATGCCGTACTGCTATGTGCACCCAACTCAAGCAACTGAGACCTCTCAGCTCGCACCTGCCGGCATTCGACAGTACCAGCAGTAGTTGGGCTGCCTACTATTCGCAGCCGTAACCTGCCACTTGAACATGTCCTGCTCTGCTATCAAGCTTGGTACCATAAGAGACCTGAATGGGAGAATCTGGAAGAGCTACAGCAAATTGCAGGCTTATCTACTTCGTCTCTACTCCCACAATCGGCCTCATTTACCACAAGACAGTCTTTACCAAAATCGAACACATCGGCTATGTCAACGCTGACCACGCTGGCAACAAGGACAATGGGCGCTCATGTACCGACTATGTGTACCGCCTGGAACCTATCAGCATGATCTCCTGGCACTCAGGAAAGCAAGAAATAATCAAGCTCACATCTTCTGAAGCTGAATATATTGCCTTCTGCACAGCCACAAAAGAAGGACTCTACCTACGCGAGCTGCTAGAAGAAGCGAAGATAGCCAAGTTACCCAACTTCTCCCTCCTTTGTGAAAGTGGTCAAGATTGCAAGCAAAAGTGGTTTTGCGAATCGGACCAAGTACGTACCGCTTCGTTACTTCTTCGTGGAAGACAGGATCAAGCAGGGAAAACTCCAGCGGGCCTACTGCCCACTACCGAAATGGCAACCGACTACCTGACCAAGAAGCTGACAAAAGCAAGGTTCAAAGACTGCATGCAGCTGACTGGAATGCAACATGTCATCAGTTTCGAACACATCAACACTCCAGAAATGAAGAAGGAAACGATGAAGGCAGGACTTCAGCATTTTCAGCGCATTGCGACTTATGCAACAAGCGAGCAAGGCAACATCGAGGACAGTCGAGTCAACCATGGTACAATACCCTTGACAGTGGACGTAATCTAACAACACATGGAAAATGTTGCAAGGCAACAATCGCTGACCGTTGACCCTGCAACTCTGAAGTCATAAGTACCTACAATACCTACAATAGCAAGGACACATAACCGCCCTGGTATTACAGTACAGGTAGTTACCCGAGTCTTGCTTATCGAGTCGTAAATTGAGTGCACCCCTATGAAGTGCATAGTTCGATATTTCGTATTCTATTGTAACACTTTATAAGCCCTTGTATATCCTTACTGTAATCAATCACTAATTCTCACACACCAGAACAATGGTTCAATTCAGACTTCTCAGCCCAGAAAACGTGAAGTGAGTGTCTGTCCCAAATGCACCAGGCCAGAAAGCTTTTTTAAAGAGGTATGACTGGCCCAATGGTGAGATCAGTTATGTCTTAAACTCAGTCTTGTGCATAGCAATAATAAACAAACATAAAAATGGGATATGCTAAAATGTAACCAACTTTCGGTCGTGCATTTACTTTCTGTCAAGAGACCCGCTTGGGTCGCCCTAGAAGATCCTCTTAAAGGCCACTAGCTGCTATGCCTGGAGGACTATGAACGAACTGGCCCGCTACTTAACAAGCCCTTTTAGCGTAGTGATTAGCGGTTGTGTTTATGAGATGGTATCAGAGCCAGAGGACTCGGGTTCGAATTCTAGTGAAGTGCACTGCAGAAGTGCCGAGTGCTCTACCTACCCCAGAGAGGGGGGGTGTCAAGAGACCTGCCGAGGTCGCCCTAGAAGATCCTTGGAAGGACCACAAGCTGCTATGCCTCTGGGGGCTATGGGCTGGCTGACCCGCTACTTAACAAGCCCTTTTAGCACAGTGGTTAGCGGTTGTGTTTCTGAGATTATCACGCGTCTCGATGCTACGTCATGGCTTTCTAGTACGTTTGATAGAGCGCACGTGTAACTTGCTTGGTGAGATTAAGGGCGCGGGACCACCAACTCGTAATCCCGAATAAAGTATAGACTTAGGGGTGGTTCCTGATTTCACCAATGTCGCAAACAATATTCGCACCTCGCGAAAATCCTTCGCCACAATTCATAATGATGATGGAACATGGGGCACAAAAAATGTCGTCCGAATGGCAACTGTGCCACTTTCAAACCACCACCCTGGCAACAAACATATATTGCTACATACTCAAAGCTAGTTAATTTATATATGTTTGTTGTATAGCCTAACTAGATCAGCTCTTAGAGAAGATAACATGCGTTACTTGCATCTCCCCTCCCTCAACCCTCGTTTCTGGCTCTACCACGCCCAGCCCCCCTTCCTGTCTCAAAGTGCACATGAGCTGATGACTCCAAAGAATGAAGTGCTTGTCCGCCGACGCCCTGCTACTGGAGACGAAGTCGTGGTTTAGTTTCCTGGTCTGCGTCCAGATAAGCTCCGGGGGTGGGTAGATCTGTCCATGGAAAAGGAAAATCAGCGTCGCATATTATTGATGATTATAACTTGCGCCAAGGTTGTAAGATGCTTGGACTCCCACTTGACTAGCTCCCCCTCTGCCTCTATCTAGTGCCTTTTCCCACGACGGACCCGCATCTTCGCCAGGTGTATTCCAGACACGAAGGAGCTGTTCCGGCACCCCCTCCTGTGCCCATTTGAGAATCGGGTTCAGGGGAGCCGCCCAGTGACGGTTGACTCCTAGAGGCACCACGACCAACTTGTCATGGTTGGTGCGTAGTCCGGACAGAGCCGCGAAGTCTGATAGGAGCTGCGTCGCCGCTTCCAACTGCTGCCTATCACTGAGGAGGAGCATTGTATCGTAAGTGTACCCCAAGTACGCTAAACGCCCAACCCTTCTCTTGGACAGCACCAACTTCCGCCTTCGCGTCTCCTGACACAGGCTCCACGACACAGAGGAAGAGGTAAGGCGCAAGAGGACAGCCCGGCTTCACCCCCTTTTGCATCTCGACCCGCTCCCCAAGCGAGCCATTTGTGCAGAGCCTCGTGCTTGCCCCATGATGCAGGCCCTCCAACCAGCAGACGAACCTGTCTGGGAAGCCCATACCCCGCATCGTCGCAAAGAGATATGTTTGCTAGGCCGAATCGTGCGCCTTCTGGAAGTCTACTAGGAGAAATAACCAATCCTCCTTATTGTTATGCGTAGCGTCAATCACATCTGCTACGACCGCCACCTCGTCCGCCAACATTTCTTTCTTTCCAGGAAGAAATCCGTGCTGCTCCTCTGAAATCACCTCACCCATGAGAGGCTTAGCCCGGTTATCCAGCGCCTTTGCGATGAGCTTGTAAGTGACATTCAAGAGGGTGATGTGACGGTAGTTGTGAAGTGCATCAGCTGGACCGTTTTTGTGAAGTAGGACAGTCACCGCCGTCAATACCTTTTGCGAGAGTGTGTCAGAAGTTTCAAAATCCCGAAACAGCTTGATAATCCCTGCTGCCCGTTTGGTTCTCTAGGTAATTCGACCAATATTCGACGGCTACCATCGACGGTGATCGTTTCGACCGTTGGATGATGTTTCCTCGAAGAAGCTCGAGATTCTCAACAGTGGTGTCTTCACTACGATGAGATTCAGATTGTGAAAGCTTGCTTGGGTCATCTTGGCAAAGGCAGCGTGCTTCATTTCATATGGGATTGCATACATGGTTCTCGTCCAATAGACTACACCTATAAATAGGGTGGGTGGGTGGGGAAAACGAAACTGGAACTAGAAATGAAGAACGTGGGTGAGGTCGAATGGCCTCACGTCCCTCTTTTGTAGGCAAAAGAGGGTGAGTAGCGCTTCGACGCTGTCCTTGCTGCGTTGGCCCTCGCTGCACTTTCACAATACACATTTTATAAAGTGTTACACGCTTTCAAAAAATTACATTTAGAGTGTGTGTAGTTTTATTTATTTGTGTGCTTATATAGAAGGGGGAGAGTGTAAGGAATTAGTAATTCCTTACTGAGGCTTACTACAGGGTGTACGATTCGAACTGTCCCGAACCAGCCATGGGCTTCCAGACTTTTCAGTTCGAACCTCCTGGGCCTTTCCGGACCTCGCTTCGACACATCGAGGCCCTTCGACACCTTTCTCGAACCTTCCGATCCTACATCCAGGATCACCCTAGGTTTTCTATATATTGTTTTGTCTTTCATTTTATTGCCATTCACTCGTTCACAGTTTCGCCATTTGCCCTCCGCGCTACTCGGCAGTTCCATTCATAACACAAGTCCTTATCGTAACACCCTCTTAGTGCAAATATCTCAGATTGAGCTCGTTCAGCGCGTAGTCGCACCAACTCCTGCTGCAAAAACTCGTTGGTGAGGCGCTCCTCGTCAAGTGCTGCCGCCAATGCTTCAACAGTTCTTAATGTTGATGACGAAGGGTCTGTCACAACAATTTTTTGAGGCATCGGCGCACTAGGACAGCGAAATCAGGCGTACTTTACCACGCTAAAAGTTTTTTGTACCGCATCGAAACCTTTTGAAACTCATCAAAACGAACCGGTCCTTGGCTGATTTCGGCAAAACGGACGCAGTGTACCGTGTCCTAAATGTCATTGGACGAGGCGTGCTGAAGCAGCAGTTCGATATTGTATCCCACACACTGCACAGAACAACCGTCTGGTGCTGGCAGCTGGGTTCCGATCATTTTGTCCACGAGTTTCACGTGCGCGAGGATGGGTTGATTTGTAACTTACGAGCGACATTTCGTGCGTTTTCTAACAGGCGACAGCTTCGCCAGAGCAGTTTGCCTATTCGCCAGCTGTCGTGCCACTTTCGCGCTTTCTCGGACTAGGTGTGCCGGTTTGCGTTGGCCAACCAAGCCCTCAGAAAGGGCACTCCTTCCTGGCTTACACTCAAGGGTATGGCACTGTACGTACAGCAGATCCTCGAAGAGCCATGGCCATGTGAGCTTGCTGGCATCCTCTTCATCATGTCTGCCACGAGGAGAGACTCTGTCGGTGCGAAAACGCGACTGCAGTTCGTGGTGCCAGCGAAAGGCGTAGTTCTGCACAAACCAGCTTCGCTTCGCAGGCGAGAGAAAGCTTCGAGTGAAACAGCGGGATCGTGTTTCGCGCTGGGGCGCCGCGATGTGTGCGTGTCCAGCCGAGGTCGAGGTCGAGGTGTACAGCACCAGCATATCGTTCCGTCACGTGCACCCAACGGACAGGTGGACGTGCTATAGTCCATCTCGTTTATCCCTCAATGGATTTGCCAGAAATGGGAATTCTGTGCTGTGCTAGTAGGTGCGCGTGCGCACCATAAGCCCTCGCACGAGAAACGCCGTGCACTGTAGCGCAGTGTCAGTGCGTCGCTCGCCACTCGCACCATCATCCGTGCGACGGAAGTCCGCGGCGTAGTTTTTCGTCAATCCGTGGAAGCGAAGGTGGCTGGGGGAAGCCCGGCGGGGGACGAGTCGTCCGCCGCCGTAGTAACGCGCGCAGGCACTGTAGCATGGTCAGTGGTACTAAGGGCGGAATATGATGTGATGAGTGTCCCCCTGGCGGGAGTGTGACCTGCACGCCCCATGGCGGTTGACGCCTTTCTGGATCTTGGCACCGCCGCACGTGTCGCTGCTGCTACGCTGCACGGCGATGGCACGGCTCGCTCGGAAAGAAGGGGCACGTCGCGGCGCCGGGAGCGCGGGAGTCACCCGATGGTCGCGACCTTGTCCGTCTGCCCATCCGTCCCTCCGTCCGTCCGTGGGGCGAACCCTCTGGCTCTATGCCAGAGTGCTACTGGTGGAGGAATTACCAGTACTGCTAGTAGTAATAGTAGTATTGGTACCTCGCAGCTGAATGACAGTGTCACACCCAGTCCCTACTACTTATCCTTGAGAGGACAGATCCACCTTTCACTTCCTCTTCCACCCGATTCAGCATTTCAAGACTCTCGCTAACCCGCATTCTTGCAACAACTCGCGTTCCTCCAAGCGCGGCCATCTTCTTAGCGGTTCCGCCTACGCGCTGCACCTACGCGTCTTTCTCCGTAGCCCTCCACCCACCTTCAATCAATCTTAGCAAGCTTTCCCGCCCCAAATATTCGAGCCGGCGCCTGCAACCAACGGCCTCAACCTACAACCACAGCGTCCGTATTGCTGCAAGGAAGCCAAGGGCCCTACGCTCTCTTACCCTCCTTCCGTCCACCAACTGGTCTGTGGGCGCCTGTGGCCACTTAAACTCCCAGGTGCTGCTACCACAAGGCCATGCGCTGCACCCTCTAGCGTCACGGCACTCACATGAGCGGCACGAGGAAGCTTCTACTCATGGCGGACAGTGCTACTACCGCTGTTGCTGTTGCTGCTGCTGCTTCTGCTGCTGCTTCTGCTGCTGCTTCTGCTGCTACTGCTACTTCTGCGGACGTTCTTCCCGAGTCACTTGCTGCAGTGTTCTTCTCTATGGACGACCTTACCCCCATCCTCCCCTCCCCGTGCACCATCGCGGCATGCAACGCACTGCCGCCGACTGTGCACGACTCGGTGCACTCGTCTTCGTCTCGCGGCATCAACCAGACGACAGCGGGGTGCAGGAGCGCTCCTAACTCCAACCCGCCTTCCCCTGAGCGTGGCGCTGAGCATGCCACTCGTGTGGTGATGGGCGATGAAAAGCACAGCGGGGTGAGCAGCGCCGCTCACCCGCAGTGGCGCCCGTCTTTTGAGTGGCAGCTCACAGCGGAAAGGGAGTGTCAGGCGCTGAGCCACGTGGGAGGAGCATCCGCAAGGGAGGCGTGGTGTGAGGCGCCTCAAGAAGCTCCAGCGTCTGGTTTTGCCTTGAAGGAGGCAAGGACCGAAGAGGGGAGCGCAACCAAGGGGGGGAAGGACGGGCGAGGATGCTCTGGCCGTGGCGCTGTGGAAAAGTCAGGCCAATTCACGGGTGGGGAGAAGCAGATAAAGCGCATGCTGGCAGCGCTGTCACAGCTGGCAAGTTGTGTGGCACAAGAGGCATGCGTTGAGACATCTGGCAGTGCACGGCGTGCAACTGGCAAGGTGGCTCAGGAGCCGTTCCATGTGGACAGCAAGGCTGAGCTTGGCACTGTACCTGACAAAAGTGATCGCCGCATTATGGCGAAAGAGACGTGCTCTCTCCCTAACGAGGACAAACCGTCTGACTGTGACTTGCAAGTGGCTGCAGCAGCAGCCGAGGCAGAAAAGGCAGTGCTGGCAAGCAAGGTGGCAGGTCGAGCGCAGATGGGCGGAGGGAACGAGGAGGAGAGGCAGCAGCTGAAGGCTCTGCTGCAGGCCCTGAAGCACATCGAAGAGCGGCATCAGGAGCCACAGCAGCAGCAGCAGCAGCAACAGCGGCCGCAGCCGCAGCAGCAACAGCAGCCGCAGCAGCAACAGCAGCCGCAGCAGCAACAGCATCTACAACAGCAGCAGCAGCCACAACAGCAGGATGAGAAAGAAGAGGGCCACCGATTCTCACCCCACTCAGTTCCAGCAGATGCCCTTGCCTTCAACTACACTCCTTGGTACGGGCCAGATGGCTCTCTGCGAGTGGCCCACAGAAAGGGGGTCCGGGGGCACATGGGGAAAAGAGGTGGCAAGGGGAGCGGCGGTGGTGGGTGCGTTAATGGTGGTGCAGAGAGGAGCGGCAGCCCTGACTCTGCTGTGGGTAGCCGCGGCATCAGCAGCAATGTGAGCTGTGGGATGAAGCCATGGGATGCAGATGGCATCAGCAGCGGCATCCTCAGTGCCGGTGGCACCAGTGCTGCCACAGCGAGCGGTGTGGGGAGGAAGAGGAAGAGCCCAGAGTGGAACTCTGGCTGTGCTACAGCTGTGCACGAGTGGCAGCACCGCAGACAGGCTCCCCGTGGCTGCTACAACCCCAGTGTGCTCGGGCTGGCCTCCACCGCTTTGAATATGCAGTCTGATCCGACCACTACCTTGTCCATTCACTCTAAGCATTGTACTTCAGGCCTGCACATACGTGCAGTGGGGCCGGCTTTCGTGGCTGGTCAAAGTGGTGCATTGGAGGCCACGTGCAGCAAGGATTGCTCCATGGGTGGGGCAGCACGGCAGCAGATGCACCTCCAGGCGCAGGCACAACTGCAGCAACAGAGGCATGAGCACGTCTCCCAGCATCCCCGTCACTCGTCACCCGAGGCCAGCAACCAGCGCTGTCGTGGTGGCAGCGATGGGTCAGCGAGCACAGGTATGGGCGCTGCAACGACCAGCTGCAGCACCGGGCAAGTGGGCGAGCTCATCCACATGGATGGCCCGGTGCAGTGCCACACCGACACTGCGTACCTTGGGTTCGAGGTTGAGGCTATGCGGAGTGCTCAACAGCAGCCTGACTGTGCGCTTCTGGAGGAGGACTTGTGTGTGAGTGCCGAGGAGGATTGGTGCCCGGCAACAGACGAGTGGCAGACGGGGGGGGGGCGTGGATTGCAAAACGAGGGCCAGACGAAGGGTGAGTGCCAGGGCAATGAAGAGGAATGGATGCCGAGGTGCCAGGGTGCGAGGAGCGGTTCGGGTGCGCGGAGCCTGAGGATAAAGAGCCGGAGCATGGCGGAGCGGCGGAGGAGGGAGAGGATCAGCGAGGGGCTGCAGAGGCTGAGGGTGAAGGTGAGGGGGCGAGGCGACACGTGTGCCATGCTGGATAGAGCCGTGCGCTACGTGGATGTGCTGGAGCGCCGTGTGGGGGAGCTCGAGAGCTACGTGCTCGCTGGCACCGGGAGTTTTGCTGGTGCCAGGGGTGACACTTCTGCTGCTGCTGCTGGTAACCCTATCAGATGCCCTTCTCCAGTCACAGGGCCTCTGTTGCCCAGCCGCTTTTTTGCCGTAGCAGCTGCTGGCAGGCATACAGTTGGGGCTGCCAGTGGTGGCGGCGTTGCTGCTCCTAATGACGACTCGAATGCTGTTGTAGGTTTGGCTGGGAATAACATGGGAGCCTTAGGGTTAGGGCAGTGTGGTATGGCTGCAATGCCATCTTCCTTTCCCTTCAGATTCTGACTCTGTGTGGTAGTGCTCCCTTGCAACATGCATTGCCGCCGGTGCTTAGGTGCTTCAGCCTGTGTAGAAAGCTGAAGTGAGGTAACAAGCAGGCCAGCCAAGTCTTCAGTAGAACTGCATCCTGGAGTGAGGTGTACTGCAGTCCAACTATTGATATATTCTCAATAAATTGGAGTATACCCATTCACCTCATTCAATGCATCACACATTGCGTAGCACACTGCAGAGACCTAGATGTTAAACTAAGGTAGCTAGGAGTAGGAGGAGGCCATGGAATGGCGTGAAGTTTAAGAACGTTGACGAGAGAAAAGAGAGAGACTAGGAAGAGAGAGGCATACAAGGAGGGAGTTGTGCCCTCTACAGTAGAGTTCGATAAACCTACCAAGCCTACCAATTATATAACAAAATATATAATTTAACACTACCCCCTAGGCTTGGTAGTCACAAGCCCACCCAACACACACACCCCCTAACCCCTTACACCCCCATGGGTGGCGCGGCGCTTACTGGCGGGAGAGGGCGAATCTTCAGCGAGGCACCATGGCTGGCGCGACGCTTACTGGCGTGAGAGGGCGAATCTTCAGCGAGGCACCATGGCTGGCGCGACTTTTACTGGCGTGGGGGCGTTACGACTGGCGCCTAGGACAGGGCGCTGGCCGCAGCTGTCTGTGCGCTGGCGTGGCGAAGCCGCCACGGCAGCACGACGGCACGGCGACCCAGCGGCACGGCGGCGCGGCAGCGCGGCGGCACCGTGGCACGGCGGCATGGCGGGACGGCGACACGGCGGCACCAAGGCACTGAGGCACGGCGACGTGACGGGGTCGGTGCGGAGTGACGGGGCCAGCGCGGGGTGACGGGGCCAGCGCGGAGGGACGGGGCTGGCGCGGAGTGACGGGGCCGGCGCGGCGTAACGGGGCCGGCACGGAGTGACGGGGCCGGCGCGGCGTGACGGCGTGACGGGGCCAGCACGGAGTGACGGGGCCAGCGCGGCATGACGGGGGGGGAGTACGCTGCGGAAGCGTGAGGAGAAGTCCCGAGCGAAAGGGGCCTGCTCTGATACCATGTTAAACTAAGGTAGCTAGGTGTAGGAGGAAGCCATGGAATGGCGTGAGGTTTAGGAAGGAGAAAGTTGACGAGAGAAAAGAGAGAGAGACTAGGAAGAGAGAGGCATACAAGGAGGGAGTTGTACCCTCTACAGTAGAGTTCGATAAACCTACCAAGCCTACCAATTATATAACAAAATATATAATTTAACACTAGAATCCTTGCAGAGCTCTCTCACATAACACACTCTATGTCAGGCAGCGTAAAAAGAGCTTAGCCCATTGAATCAGGCCGTTGGATCATCAGTATGCTTGCAATCTGCGTTTGAAAGTTGTGTTTTCGTGGGTGTTGAAAGGAGCTAAGAAGCTAGCTAGGCATGAGAGGGCGAGAGGTTTTAGCTAGGAAGCAAAATTGATGAGAGAGAAGAGAGTTGGACTAGAAGAGAGAGGGATGCAAGAAGGGTGTTGTACCCTCTACAGTAGGATCCATTGTAGGACACCTAACACATACCAAGTCTACACAAATATACATAAATAGTATAAAAGTTGACAAAGAGGGGTAACGTGACTCTCGTCAACCAGGGGTGCTGTTCAAGTTCAGTGCGAAGGGTTTTGGAACACCAAGTTGTGAAAGTAGCGCGGTCAAAAAGTGTGACTAGAAAGGGAGAAGAGGGGATACATGTACACAAGAAGTATCCTCCCTATTAGCTGACCCAGATGGGCTATACAAACATAAAAAACTAACCAGACACATAGATGTACAGTGGCACGAAAAAATGCCAGGATGTTCAGCAATTTAAAACTTAGCGCTATGCAACACATGTTTTGAATATAGTAACACCGGTTTTTTTTTTGTCGTGTTACAAGTTCGTCGAGTTTTGTTTCCACTGTATACAGCTTGGCGCGATTGTCTCTTATCCAGTTATCGAGGATGAGATTTACTCATCGACAGTCGATGCGGACAGTTCATACCGAGCGACAGCCTCGATCAAATTTCGCTCGCCATTTAACGTTCATACCGTTTCGCGCAACAACCGTTAGTATAGGAGTTAGGCCATAAGTTAACCTACGACTGCAGCAAATGAAGCCAGTAGATGAGAAGAAGCGCGCGCGTATTGTAAGCATGTCGACTAGGAAAATAGCAAAGGAGCTCGGCATAGGTAAAAGTACCGTGCATGATTACGGGCTGAAGGCGATTGCCGAGACTAGTCTCGAAGAGGAGCGACCTACAATGCCCATGGCCGGCCGTCCACGGTTAATTACAACACGCCTCCAGCGCGATATAGTTCGTCCGATTACTAGCGGGGAGGCGAAAACTAGTGTGGACGCCGTGAAGATGCTAGAGGAGAAGCACGCTCTGGTTGTAGACTCGAAGACCGTTAGGAACTCGTTACGATCCGCGGGTCTGATCGCTATGCAGCAGCCCAAGAAACCCAGGCTCTCAGCGAAAAACATACGAGACCGGCTGGATTTTGCGAGGTCTCATGCCGAGTGGACGATGGAGGACTGGAAGCGCGTGATATGGTCCGATGAGGAAGATTAATCGTTTCTGCTCCGACGGACGCGCTTACGCCTGGATTTGCGCGGGCAGCAAACTCCAGAGCCACCAAATCCAGCAGACAGTTAAGCATGGGGGCGGCTCTGTGATGGTGTGGGGTTGCATGACGTATGAGGGGGCGGGTTTCATGTGCAAGATCGATGGAAGGATGGATGGGCCACTGTATCGCAGCATCTTGCAAGACGAACTGTCTCAAACCATCGATTTTTACAAGCTCCCCCCCTCAGAGGTCATATTCTAGCACGATAATGATCCCAAGCACAAGTCATGTCTGGTGCAAGACTGGCTTGGGGAGCAGTAGTATGTAGTGCTGGAATGGCCGTTGTCCTCCCCGGGCCTTAACCCGATAGAGCACCTGTGGGCACACTTGAAAAGGGAGCTGGCGAAGTACGACAAGCCTCCCCGTGGAATATTGGAGGTGTGGGAGAGGGTGCAGGAGGAATGGGACAAGATTCCGGCGGAAGTGTGCTCAAACCTCATCGACATTATGCCAAGGAGGATCAAGGCGGTGATCCGCGCAAAGGGACGCTGGACTAGGTACTAGTTTTGCTGCCTGTCCTCGGTACAAATTGTCCGGATGTGCTGTTATTAAATGTTGTCGTGTTGAAGGACCATGCAATATACTACTCTGGTTTTGGGAGACTTGAGTGAGTGCTCTAACTGCTCTTCTCTACGTGTATGGTGTCACAGGATCGAATGTCCCAAGGAAAGGTTTGCTCAATGTTCCACTATCAATCAGTACAAGGTGCTTTTATACTTCCATAGTACATCAGGTAACCAGGTTTATCCTATCCAAAGGGAATAGACCCTTCTAGAAATAGAATCACCTTGCGTATAGCCACGCGAGGCTATTGGCTTTAAGGGATTACGGCACGATGACGCTAGATATAGCGCGCCAGTACATCCCGAGCCTGGTCGGTGATATAATCATAATACCAGGATAAACCAAAGGATAATGGAAAAAGAGGAATAGGAAAACCAAATAAGATGAGATAAAGACCAAATGAATCAGGATAAAAAGAGGAATGAAATAGAAAGGAAATATGGAAATGAGAAAATAGTGTAACGGGGTCGTACTCTCACATATGGCCACCATGGATTAGGGCTTAATGTTTACAGCATACAGCTCATCAAAACGTAAAAACATGCTAAACATGTGGACAATTTTTCCTGCCACTGTATATGTTTGTTGACACACCCCCTAGCCTAGATAGAGGCAACGTTTAACACACGAGGGCAGCACTACTAGTCGGACCTTTGGTTAAGGTAACAAGACAACTCAGGGCAGCACTACTAGTTTGACCACTTAGACAAGAGGCCACAAGGCCAATCAGCGAGTGTAGCAAGACAGGTAGGTATAGGATAGCAAGTACAAGCAAGTATACTGTAGTATATATCAGGGTACAAGGAGTGGCAGTGCTACTGAGACGAGACCAAGCTGTGTACAAAACCGCTGATGGTTACGAGGCAATAGTGTGGGTGAATATATCAGCCGTGTTGGCCTCTGTGGCCACGTGTACTACTGGAGCCTGGCCACGCTGCTGCAACTCACGCAGCAGGAAGTACCGCAGCTGGATGTGCGTTGCACTGCAACTCAAGTCGAGCCTCCTGACACAGGAGGATCATGACCCTATTGTCAGCAAACACAACCAGGGAAGACCTAGGCGGCTCACCTAAGACAGTGAGCAAGAACGACAGCCAGCAGAGCTCCTGAGCGGCCATGGCCCCAACGTAGATCTCTGCCTCACAGCTGGATCAAGCTACAGACAACGACCTGATGGATGTCCAAGAGACTGCACCAGCACCAAGACTAAAGCAGTAGCTTTAAGACAACATGAGCGTCTCCAAGTCGTCAGCCCACTACGCGTCAGTGTGTCCAGTGAGCACCACTGGGTCTTGTCCTCCTTGCACAAGCCCCAGTTCTGATGTGCTCACCAGATACCGCAGTACCGTCTTGGCAGCCGACCAGTGGACTGGTCAGTGCCTACATGTCGCAACAGAGCGAACCAGGAGACTGAGAGGGTACGCTAGATCTGGTCGAGTGCAGGTCATCAGGTACATGAGGTACCCCACCAGCTCTGCGTGTGGACCACTAGGCTTGACCGGCTTAGACGTCATAGGAGCAGAGAGCATGTGATCCACAACAGCAGGGTGGGCAGTGCTGAGGAGAATTGGGGACTGAACCTTTGGAGGATTTGCTGCACCATATGGGACTGGGAGAGTTTGATTGTGCGAGCGGCATGATCACGAGTGATCTCCAAGCCCAGATAGCGCCTCAGCTCCCCTAGGTCAGTGCAGGTGTGCCTCTCAAGTAACTCGGCCTTCACTGAGGCTAGTGCATCTCTGACAAGAGTAGCAAAGATAAGATCGTCTACATACACTAGGATGTAGAACAGGGTGTGACCCGTGCGAACAAAGAGAGAAGGGTCAGCGGAGGATGGGAAGAACAGCGGCTCAGGAAGTGTCGTGCGAAGCATGTCGTGCCACTTACGAGGCAACTGATAAGGCCATAGACAGGGCATCGCAGGCTCCACTGGGTCCTAGGTGGGAAGGATGCAGAGAAGCCTAG